CCACAGTATATGGTAGAACATCACTCATGTTTTGATGCCTTTGTTGGAGAAAACAGACATGCAAACAACGTAATAACTACCAAAAAAGGGATGATCAGGAGGGGACAACAGCAATGAAAACATCTGGAGTGTGCCCTTGTAATGTTTGCCTCTGTGGCCATTCATAGTTACAGCCCCACCTTGCTGATGTAGACTCACAACACTTCTTATGATTTAATATATGATGCCCCAAATACTTTTCATTCATAGCCACATGGTTTGTCCTTCTGTGCACAATATACTGTCCATGTACGTTTGTTAGCCATCACTCAGGTACTGCTTGTTTCAGTTTTCGCTTAGTATGAATGTCCAGTATAATGAAATACTCTCCAGAGCTTTTCTGGTTCCTCCACTGATTCTAAGGCTGCTTTCCTGCTTCCTCTGATGTAGACAGCATTGGTAGCTGCATGAATGGCCCTCTAGTAATGACTTTCCAGTCGTTGGTTCTGTGTAAATCCTCTGACACTCTCTAATGCAGAAATATAGTTGAGGGAAATTATATTCCTTCTTATGGTCAAACCCCTGACAGTCCAGGCTGCTTTGGAAACAGAACAGTGATGGGAAATTTTAATTTTGTTTCCCATTAGTCATGGTTCCCTTATATGCTCAACTATATTCATTTACATTAGATTATCACAGTTGCAGATGAATGAAATTTAATATTTTATTTATTTTTTTCCTTGTGAACTTAACACACACTTGGCCAGGTTCTCAGCTCATGTTCATGGGTATAATGCCATTAACTCCCCCAAAGTGTCCAGTCTTGACAACACACAGTAAGATCCCCAGCAATAAATATATGTCCTATGCAAACATTAGGACACTTAATCTTCAAGAACCATAAGCATCAAGTTGTTCTTACAAATCATATTTTGCCTTCCTAAAGCTTTTATGTCTTTAGGCATCTTAGGTGGCTCTAAACAGATACATTATGCTATTATTTTGAATATCAGCTCCATGATTTTTAGTCTCTTGCTGAATGAGCAAGAATTTTAAACTAGTCTGTAGTTCTCTGGATCCTTTTCATATTTTTTCTCCAAGGAGAATTCATTTCTTCCACAGAGTCCATCCCAAAATATGCTGCATCATTTCTTTAGCTCCTAACCTGCAATGCAGATAATAGACCAACTGGTGCAGAGGAGGAGAAAGTGTTGACTATGCTTCTCTTTATTCTTGTGCTCTCCCTTCTGTAGTAACTGTAAGCAAATTCTCTTCATGTTTAAACAGTAATTCACTTTTGGCTGGCAAATTGCAAGCTATCATTAATGTAATTAAAGCCAGTGCCCTATAGCTTTTTCTGTCAAGAAGATGAAAGTATCAAGGTGGGGAAAAAATCCCCTGAGCTGCAGATCTGATGGAAATGACATTTGAAGAAAGCAGCTTCTTATCATGGCAATTTTGTCTTGATGCGAATCTTTCCTTAGAATCCTGGTCATATTTTTCTCTGTTTACATGTTTGCAACCTTGACTGAAGCCAATGGAATTTGCCCAGGTATAACACACAGGATTTTGCCCGTTTCTGCGCAGCTTGCCAATATTGTTTCTAAAAAGATAGCATAGTGCCTTTTAACACTGAAGCAGATTGAGCACTCAATTAGTTTAATTACAAACTGGGACGGATGTCCTGTGGCGTAGCAGTGTATGACTGGTAAGTGTTAATATATTTTGCGATTTCAGATATGCTATCCAAAGCCTTTCAAGTTAATAGCCATAGGATTATTTCAAGGTAAATAAACTTGCTATGTATATAAAAAACAAGGCACATCGAAGATAAACGAGTTTGTAATCTGAAGCCAGCAGACCTTACCCCCTGAGATTATGCTGGGGGTTGAGATGAAGTCAAGTTGCCCATTGGAATGCCATCATATGGTTTTCCTTTGCTGTTCTGTGCTGCCGACTCTGTTGTGCTGGGATTGTAGTAAGACAAATCACCAAGGCTCACATCATAAGATGAATTCTCTAATCGGAGAACTGGAAAAATACATCATGATTATTTATAGTGCTTTTCAAATAGTGCTTATCAGTGCAGTGTTTGAGTTCCTCAATATTAATAAATGTAGCCTTGCAATGCTTGAGGAAGAAAAATGTTGTCTCCTTTTTACAGATGAGGAACTGAGACACAGAAAGATTCAGGGACCTGATTCAAAGCCCACTGAAGTCAATAGAGGAACTTTTATTGACTTCAATAGGCTTTGGAGTGGGTACTCGTGACTTGCTCACACAAGATGCCTGTAGAAGAGTCAAGAATAGAACCTAAATATTTTAATTACCTGTCTGGTTCCTTAGCAACAAGACCATATTCTTCACTCAAAGATAAATACTTCAAGCTAATATATGACTAGATTGAATCAAATTGGACTATAGTATATTAATTCTCTTTCCTATTTCTTAACTATCAATAAAATGATCAAAACAGCAACATTTTGTTCTTTGGGAGATCTGAATGTAAACCTAAAAAAGTCAGAAAATGTCTGCACATGAATAGTGCTAGTGATTTTACACTGGAGTTTGGTTTTAATGTTCACGGCTATGTGTTTCTAAAACCGTTTGTGTCCAAAATATATACCGTGTAGTACAGCTTCGCTGTTCTGCCAGGACTGATCAGTGTTTAGCCATCAACTATCATATATACCAGGAGTGGGCAATAATTTTTAATGTGGGGCCACTCGAAGATTTTGGAAAGTGCTCAAGGGCCACATTTCTACCAATGGGGTTTGGGGCTGGTTGGGTACAGAAGGGAGCTTGGGGCAGGAGACTGGATGTAGGAAGGGGTGTGAGGTCTGAGAGGGAATGTCAGTGAAGGAGTGGGTTGTGATCTGGGACAGAGGCTGGGGAGCAGAATCCAGGAGGGAGTGGGGGTGCAGAAGAGGATTCTGACGTAGGGGAAGTGTATAGGAGAAGGTCTGAGAGGGAGTTGTGACCTGGGGGAAAGGGGTGCAGAGGTTTTGGGTGGTGGCCTGGTGTGGGGGGAAGAGAGCGGGGATGCCAGAGGCAGGCTCTGGCTGGAAGGCACTTACCTAGGCAGCTGCCAGCCAGCAGCCCTACGGGAACCTGAAGGCTGCAGTCTCAAGCTACTTCACTTGGCTCTGCTCGGGACAGGGTGATGGAGTGGGGAGAGGGTGGGAGGGAGGAGGCTTCAATGGTTTTGGGTGGTGGCCTGGTGTGGGGGGAAGAGAGCGGGGATGCCAGAGGCAGGCTCTGGCTGGAAGGCACTTACCTAGGCAGCTGCCAGCCAGCAGCCCTACGGGAACCTGAAGGCTGCAGTCTCAAGCTACTTCACTTGGCTCTGCTCGGGACAGGGTGATGGAGTGGGGAGAGGGTGGGAGGGAGGAGGCTTCAATGGCTGGCTCCCCCTGCCACCAGCAAAACATCTCAGCTGCTATTGGTTGGAAACTGGCCAATGAGTGCTAAGAGATTTTGTTGAGGGGTGGAACAGAGCACAAAGGCTCCCTCCTTGCTCCTGAACAGCCACATATAAAGTGGCTGTCGCTGCCCTGTGCTTAAGGGACCCAGTGAGGCAGCTGCAGGCTGGATCTGGTGGCTAGCGGGCTGGATCCAACCCGCTGGCAGCCTCTTGCCCACCCCAATATACACGTACATGGGTCTTTATAAATTGTTTTGCCTACAAAGTGCATTACTGAGCTGCACAATTCATGATGGCCCTGCTAATAACAGTTTTACAGATCATAGAGAATAAACCAGCAGAGTATCGGCAACGGAAAATAATATATATGTTTAGAAATGTTCATCCATCTCTCTGTGAGTCTCACTGTCATTTAGGGGCCCCACCACTAGCCTCTGCCAGGCTCCCAGAGCTGTCCCCAGCTCCCAGCCTCTGCAGGCAGGGTACTTCTCTGGCACTGCAGAAGCTGCAGAGGAACCGGAGACTGGGAGCTGAGGCAGACAAGGAGTTGCTAAGCACAGGGATAGGAGGCTGAAGATGGAGCTTGGGGCCAGTTTTTCCCAGAGCACCCATGGAGTTGCTGCTGAGGGGGACCATGGATATTGCTGGACAACAGAATCTCAGATTACAGAGGTTCATCCTGTTCTACTAATAATGGAATGACTATGCATGCACAACCTCTCTGCACATGAAGTATTGGGGGTGCTGGAAGAAGGCTTGCTGGAAAAAGTAAGTTCCTCTTTAAGGGTTAGAGAGCCAGGGAGTGACCACTTCAGCATGGGGAAGCTGACCCATCCTCCTCCCAAGTGTCCAGAAGAGAAGGTTGACTATATAAGTCCATAAACTGCAAGAAAAGCCCCTTCTTCAGAGGTCTGGGATGGAATTTTCCCCTCACTGCCAGAATGGCCAACTTTAAGTATTTGTGGGAGGGAGTACTGTCTTCCCCACAGCATGTTCCAAGTGTCTCAGTAGGAGTGAACATGAAACAAGAGTTAGGATATGATGTTGCAGCTCTTTGTAAACATGGGACAAATGGCCAGTGCAGGTACTCTGTAGGAACAGGATATATTGATCAGATAAAATGGATTGAGAAAGGGTTGAAGAAGGTATTCTTTATAGAAACAGAAATGGGGAGTCAGTTCAGGACTCTTGTGACTGGTATGGCTGCCAACCAACTCATCTATCCTTTATAGTCCTCCCCTTAAGCCTCATTCAGGTGTGTGGGAAGGTGAGGTCCCAGCAGCAGATTGGCTACAATGGGTAGGGGGAAGAACTGACAGAGGCTGTTTGGGTACATACTGAACTGATTATGGAATTACCTGCACCATATACTTATCTCTCCAGGTACTCCCAGGCATTTAAGAATAAAATTGTGGCTTAATTAAACCACATTCAGTATCTCCTCTCTTACTTCTAGTATCGCCGGGCAATGGCTGTGTATTCCAAATTATAGTTCTCCTATGTAGATTACAGTGTAGGTGAACTTAAGAATGTAATTCTTAATGAGTTGAGATTTTAAATATAGAGTGAAGGAAATTTAATCACTTTTCCTGAATATTTTGAATATGGGAACACTTTTTTTTTTATACAGGCAGTCCCTGGGTTACGTACAAGATAGGGACTGTAGGTTTGTTCTTAAGTTGAATCTGTATGTAAGTCAGAACTGGAGTCAGCCGCTGCTGAAACTGATCAGTTTCAACCGCAGCTGAATCTGGATGCCAGTTCTGACTTACATACAGATTCAACTTAAGAACAAACCTACAGTCCCTATCTTGTACGTAACCCAGGGACTGCCTGTATAAAAAAAAAAGTGTTCCCATATTCAAAATATTCAGGAAAAGTGATTAAATTTCCTTCACTCTATATTTAAAATCTCAACTCATTAAGAATTACATTCTTAAGTTCACCTACACTGTAATCTACATAGGAGAACCATAATTTGGAATACACAGCCATTGCCCGGCGATACTAGAAGTAAGAGAGGAGATACTGAATGTGGTTTAATTAAGCCACAATTTTATTCTTAAATGCCTGGGAGTACCTGGAGAGATAAGTATATGGTGCAGGTAATTCCATAATCAGTTCAGTATGTACCCAAACAGCCTCTGTCAGTTCTTCCCCCTACCCATTGTAGCCAATCTGCTGCTGGGACCTCACCTTCCCACACACCTGAATGAGGCTTAAGGGGAGGACTATAAAGGATAGATGAGTTGGTTGGCAGCCATACCAGTCACAAGAGTCCTGAACTGACTCCCCATTTCTGTTTCTATAAAGAATACCTTCTTCAACCCTTTCTCAATCCATTTTATCTGATCAATATATCCTGTTCCTACAGAGTACCTGCACTGGCCATTTGTCCCATGTTTACAAAGAGATGCAACATCATATCCTAACTCTTGTTTCATGTTCACTCCTACTGAGACACTTGGAACATGCTGTGGGGAAGACAGTACTCCCTCCCACAAATACTTAAAGTTGGCCATTCTGGCAGTGAGGGGAAAATTCCATCCCAGACCTCTGAAGAAGGGGCTTTTCTTGCAGTTTATGGACTTATATAGTCAACCTTCTCTTTTGGACACTTGGGAGGAGGATGGGTCAGCTTCCCCATGCTGAAGTGGTCACTCCCTGGCTCTCTAACCCTTAAAGAGGAACTTACTTTTTCCAGCAAGCCTTCTTCCAGCACCCCCAATACTTCATGTGCAGAGAGGTTGTGCATGCATAGTCATTCCATTATTAGTAGAACAGGATGAACCTCTGTAATCTGAGATTCTGTTGTCCAGCAATATCCATGGTCCCCCTCAGCAGCAACTCCATGGGTGCTCTGGGAAAAACTGGCCCCAAGCTCCATCTTCAGCCTCCTATCCCTGTGCTTAACAACTCCTTGTCTGCCTCAGCTCCCAGTCTCCGGTTCCTCTGCAGCTTCTGCAGTGCCAGAGAAGTACCCTGCCTGCAGAGGCTGGGAGCTGGGGACAGCTCTGGGAGCCTGGCAGAGGCTAGTGGTGGGGCCCCTAAATGACAGTGAGACTCACAGAGAGGGATGAGTGTTGGGTGGGAGTGTACATGTGTTATCTCAAATTTCTAGATAAATTACAGATTTGTTTGCTGTTTAGGAAAAAATATGTACTGACATGAAAAAATCAAAATAATAATAGTCTGAACACAGCATGTTTCAACAAATGGAAAAAAGGGTTCTGGAGGTGTTGCATTAATACTTATGCATAGGCTATATTTTCTTAAACACTGGAATCTATTTTCTATCAGAGAAACCGAAGAAAATGTGTTTGGCTATGTTTCATATAAATAATTTATATCTCCGTGCTGAAATGTTGTCTTGTGGTTGGTTTTATTGATTATATGAGGCAATGAAGATTTAAAAAGCTCTTTACACTAGACAAAGAAGTATGACAAATTAATGTGTTGAGTGCTAGATGCTTGTGAAGTATTTGCTAGTGGTGTTCTATAGCAGTTAATTGTAGTTAGTGTATCTTATTAATATTCTTCTTTTATTACAATTTATCATTAATTTGTGAGCATGGATATTCTGGGGGTACGGAAGCTCTGAAAACACATGAATAATATCCTCCTGGATTCATTTATGGTGAGTGAGGGAAGGGAACTGGACTTTATAATCTCTCAAGGTCCCTTCTAGTTTTAGTATTCAATGATTCTAACTTGGTTCAATTATACTGATTGGTAATGACTGCTGTTCTTTTATCTTGGTAATTGTACAAATTCCACTAGTATGAACTTATCCAAGTAGGGTCAAGGTGTTGCATGTTGTTTAGCTAATTTGTATCTATGAAAAGATATTAAGGTCTAAGGGGAGTATCTTCACTGTACAGTGAAACCTGTATTTTAGTCCAAACTTCCTTACCATCCACACAGCAAAAACCTGTGACATTGAGCTAGAGATGCTTTATGCCCAATATAACTATTACCCAGATAGTGGTATGGTTCAAAGAAGAAGTTCTGTTTTAATTTAGGCAGGAACCCACTAACTTTGCAGTGAGGACACAGGCAAAATTGTTTCAATGCTGATAGTACCCATCCCGCATTTCCCTCTGAAGGACAGACAAATCCTTTCACAATTGACAGAGAAACCGTCCTAGAGTGTCTCATCACAACGAACTATGGGATCTGACATATGACAGGACATGCTGACTATTGCAGAACAATGAGAACATGATATATAGGGGGTGAGGCTTTGATGTGGGATGCTTGCACCTGAGCTAGACTAAACTGGATTAACTATGCAGAGTAAGGATGTTAAATAGTTAACCAGTTAAATGAGCATTTATCCACTTAACTGTTTTGACTCAGCTCCTGCCACATTGCCCTGCCTCAGCCTCAACTGTGGGGTCCTTCTCTGGCCATGAGATCCTGTTGTCCAGCCCACAGCCAGGTCTGCTCCAGGCTGGTGCAGCTGGCCTCCACTGAAGTTCACTGCCTAGGGTCAGTTAACCAGTTAACTGGTAAGCATACAGGTAAGCCTTTTGCTTATTGGTTAACTGGTTAATACCCTAGTACCGAACAGACATACTGTAAGATCTTTTTCTATAAAAATTTACCCAATATTAAAAGAAAAATCCTCTCTCCCCTGCTTATGAATACTGAGAAGCTCTGAATATACTTCAAACCCCTTTGCCAAACTGAAAAATCTAAATAAAAAATAATATAAACATTCTCATTGTCTTCCAGGGTGCAAAAATGTCATGTCAAGAGTTCTGTGCAGAATGGAAAAGTCCTTCTACTCTCGGAACATGTGTAATATTCTTTACCTGGTTCACTCCTTGGGTCATCATAAAGTCGCTGATGAGAAAATGAGTCAGGCTTTCTCTTTGTACATAGAAAGTACCCAATTAGACCAATTAATGCAGATCCTAGAATGGCTCCTACAATCGCACCAAACACCACTCCTGCGCTGTGCTGATTCTCTGAGAGGAAGAAAAAGGATAAAGAAATTATTCAAATAAAAATGTTTAACTCTGTAGAGCCAGATCTATAACTGACATTTTACATGAGTGGAGAACCTGGCCCACTGTGACAAACTTTACTTTACAGGCAATAGTTAAGTCAGCCCCTCAACAGGCAAGGAAACATTCATTTCTCTTATTTACAAGTGGGGAAACTGTGGCACAAAAAATGTCTTAGTATCGCTTTTCCCAATCAAACAAGTATTTGACTTACAGCTGTGTATAGAACCCAGGAGTTGTGGTTCCCAGCCACATGCTCTAACCACAAAGCTCTTTGATATCTTTGATATAACAAGTGTAAGTATATAGATCAAAGTATGTGGATAACCTGAAAAAAACTTAAGCAGTGAATAGTCCTGCAGCCCCTTAGAAACTAACAAAACATATAGATGGCATCATGAGCTTTTGTGGGCACAGCTCACTTCTTCAAATAAATGGAGTAAATGGGTCACAATGAATGCTGTAAAAGGATCATTTGAAGAAGGGGGTTTTCCCACGAAAGCTCATGATGCCATTTACATATTTTGTTAGTCTCTAAGAGGCTGCAGGACTATTTCTTGTCTTTTAACTTTTTTTAGTTACAAAGTAACACGGCTACCCCTCTGAAACTATATAAATAACCTGTGTTTTTTGGGTGTCTCTGCTTTTGGGTGCCCAATTTTGGAGACATTTTGTTAGGCATCCAAAATCAGAAACGTAGACAACACTGTACCTTTTTTAGTTTTTCAGGTAGCAAAATAATTTTTTTCTCTCCAACATTTTTCTTGTGTTTTATAAAACTTTTCTTTGCATTTTGACCTCTCTTGGTTGAACACCCTTTTTCAGAATCACTTTAGGCAAAAAGTCCTGATACACTGTAAATATTACAGCTTTAAAGAGATGCTTGAAAGTGTGACAATGCTTTTCAGGTTTTAGTGCAGACTGTACTGTATATGCTGGAATAACATTTCTGTCCAATGTGAAAAGCCTGCAGGGAAATTAATTATATAAAAATGCAATGTCTTCTAATCTTCTTTTCTCATTCACTGAAGCTCCAATCAGAAAGAGCAGAATAGAGAAGTGATATTTTTGCTTTTATATTGTATTGTTTCCCTAGACTTATCCAAATTGGTAGTAATAAAATACAAGACAGATAATCCATTTGGTATTATATACAAATTGAAGGTTTTAGTCACAAAAGTATCCTTTACTCTTAAGCAATGATTAATTTATTGCTTTAAATATGTAGAGCATGGCAATTCTACCGATCTATTTCATATATGCAGAAGCTGAGAAGATGAGGGGGGGAAATTGGCACATTCATCAAACCCTGCCTTAAATTTTCTGTGCAAATAAATGGATAACTAAATGAGCAGAATTTAACACAAAACAAAACTCATAAATTTAATTAGTTTGAATTCAAACTGATGCAATCAAAAAAACAAAACAATTTTCGGTGGACCATTCAACAGAAGTAGATCCAATTTGAATACAAAACAAAACAATTTTTGGTGGACCATTCAACAGAAGTAGATCCAATTTGAATGGTGCTCTGGCTGAATCAGTCTGCTAGGAATATTCCAGTGATAGCTTCTATATACCAATATAGTTCAGAAACAAGATATTTGCCAATATGCCAGTTCACAAATACCACAGTCCTCTGATTAAACTGGCCTCGGATTACATGAGTTCTCAAATTAATTCACATATCCGCTATAGACTTCCTGTGTAACCTTGGATAAGTAACTTAGAGTATCATTTTCCAAAGTACTTAAGAGTGGCTCTTAAGCTCCAACCCCACTTGCAAATGTTACCATTAATCTCTTTCTGTGCCTCAGTTCCCCATTTGTAAAATTAAGACAATAGTGTTTTCCTTTCTCCTTCTGAATTTTGTTTAGTTAAATTGTAAGGTCTTTGGATTTGAAAATATTTCTTACTATGTATATAGGCAATTATTATCACAATGTATCTATGATCTTAGTAGGATATCTAGGTTTTACTGTTTTATTTCATTCTAGTTGGGATTGGTCCTGCTTTGGGCAGGGGGCTGGACTTGAGGACCTCCTGAGGTCTCTTCCAACCCTATGATTCTATGACTCTAACCCTCCACCACTAAATGGTGTCCTCAAGACTGCTGCTAAATACCAAATGAAATCTGGCAATGCAGTTCAAAATTGCTGCAGAGCAGCCCAGGACATATGACTTCTTGTTGAAATTGAAATAAATAAAAAAAGTATTTCTGCCTGTGCTTTCAGCTAACCCCCAGAAATACGGAAATGCATGAAAATCATACTTGGCAAAATTACCTACACTTTATTGAATTTCAAAAAAAATTTCAGGTGAGGTCTATTTTTATCTGAAGCAGTTCACACATCTTTACAACTTCCCAAACATTGTAATCATTTTATTGCTCAGTATTATTACTTTATTTCATTTTTGTTGTTGTTGTAATTAAACTTTTACCTTCGTTGGGTTCTTTTGGATTTGATGGGAATGTGGAATGGTTGGTGAAATTCTGGTGTACATTTGTGGTCTTTGAAATTGTTTTAAAGTCTGTTGTGACATTGTCACTGTTGGCTGTGGAGAATGTGGTCAGTGTATTTGATGGACTATTTGTGGAGGAGACTTCTGTGGAGTTTGTTAGAGTGCCTTTAGTGAAGATTGTTGCAGTAGAACTGGTATAATTGACTGATGTGATATTTTTGAGTTCTGTGTTCCGTGGTATACCAGCACTTGTAGGCAGGTTGCTCGCGGTCACTGTGGGAAAGTCACTTGTGGTTATGGATATTGTTGAAGATGCTGGGATTCTGTTGGTGGTAGAGTTATTTATGGCATCCGGTAAGCTATTAGTTACATACCAAGACAAAGGTAACAATGTGCCATTAGTGGATCTATGAGGTACACTGTTGCTTTTAGTGTTATTTTCTATTACTGGACTTGTTGTTGTTTCATTCTTATTGGTCATTGATGGTGTGACATGGCTTGTAGTAGAAGGAGTTATTCCTTTAGTTCCATTAAGAGTTAGCTGCTGCGAAGTTCCTTGGTGTGTGGATGGAGTCATATCTGTAGTTGAGGTATTGTTTATGTAACCATTGCTTCTGGTCCACCATAAACTAGTCGGCAATAAAATAAGGATAATTCCACTGGAAGGCAACATGGTATTGACTTTGTGGTTTGTTTCTTTATGTAGAGAGCCTGAAAGAAGTTAAAAGGTTTGTGATTTAGTGTATTATGTGGAACTGAAAGTTGGATAACGAAGACACAAACATGTTCATGAAAAGATATAGCAACTTGATACAAGAGAAGAAAAGTTCTGTAGGTTCCTACAGATATGTCTACACTTCAGTTAAAGAATTGTAGCTGGCCGGTGTCAACTGAGTAAAGCTCAGGCTGAGTGAGCACTGTCAACTGGTAGTGTAGACAGTCAGATCCATGGTTTTGTGAGTGGGGAGAGTCCCAGAGCTGAAGCTGCAGCTGAAGCTCAAACATCTACACCGCAGTTGTACAGCTCCGGCCCCATGAGCCTAATTCAGCTGACACAGGCCAGCTGTGGGAGTTTAATTGCTGTGTACACCTTGATGAAGGGTTGCGTGTTGAGAACATAACACTCCTGACTAATAATTGTATTCTCTCAAAGCAATACTGTTGAGCAACAAAGCTTTTGCCATGTTTCCATAGGCAAAGCTATATACTCCTGTCCATTCTACAGCTCAGTCTGTAACAGCTTGCTATTACATGTGTACAAGGACCAATGCCTAAAAGGGTATGCTTTCTAGTCAGAAAGTAGCACCCAACAATACGTGAGTAACAGGGGCATGGCAAGGCCAACAAGCTATGTAATAGAACCTCTATGTTCTGTGTTCCCATCCAAAGCGGTATAGTAATTGTTGCAATTAGCCTTTGGAAGTGATGAGTTCCCTTACATATTTTGTGACCTTGTGGGGGAGACCATCACACGAATATAGCTGCGGCCAAGGATTTGTGACAGTTCGGCCGCTGAGCTAGCCCATGGAATTTGTGAAGCAGTGTTTCTTCTGTGCCCTGACTTTCAAGTGTTCGGACAAGGAGCAGCAAGAATTCTGATCCCCAAACACTTGGCTTGTTAGGCAGACATATTGGAATATGCTTATCAGGCTTTCTATAGTAGAGGCAGCTTGAGGTCATACAGTCATTACTTCTCAGACATCGCAGAGTCAAATGTGTAGGTCAGTGCTACTTTCAATAGCATTCTACTTCCATTCTACTTCCACATGTTTTATTGCCTGTAGGATGGAGACATGTTGCCTAAAAGTAGTCACTTGTCCCCTTCCTCTTTCACCCCTCAGCTCCACTGTCTGGCTTATTTTCCTTTCACTTTTGTAAATCTAACTGTGGGATTTTCTACCACTTTCATCCTCTCTGCATAGCAAGGAAGAGGGGATGAGTATAGGGACTCTATCTGTGGCCACTGGAAGAAGTCAGCTTGTCTCTGTCACCCGCCTTACAGGGACTTCTGTAATTTGACAGATGATATGATTCATTTCAGCTATCAACCAATGAACCTGGTCGTAGGTCTGACCAGGGGTGTTGACAGCCTCCGTGGCAGGTGTATGGGAGGGCAGGTGTATGGGAGGCGGTGCCTCGATCAGAAGAAGCAGGGCCCAGGGCAATCTGCCCTCCTCACCTCCCAGAGTTTGGCACGGACTCCCCAGAACTCAGAGCTAGTTGGAGCACGCAGCACAGCACTCCAGGGGCTGATTTAAAGGGTGTGGGGTTCTGGCTGCTGCTGCTGCTGCTGCTCTAGCAGAGGTGGCAGCTGACAGCTCCGGGCCCCTTTGAATCACCAGGCCGCAGGACAACTGGTCCCTTTGCCTTCCCCATTGGTGGGCCTGAGTCTGACCCTGCTCCCTTTGCAGTCAGTGACTGAACTCCCATTGCTTTCAATGCATACAAGATGTATGGCCCAAGAATGGAATTTGTATTTAGGTGTATTTGTAGGAATCACCTTTCAGCAATCTGTTTATAAATATTTTTTCCACTTTGGTAAATTGATCAGTCTCCCAGTATAGGTTGATCATCTGCCACGTGGGATTCATATTCCTTAGTTATTCCATTAAAAATACAACTTAGAAATGTTGGGGGGGTTTTATTATTATATTATAGAAATAAGTATTTCAGCTTAGAACTAATCTTTGGGTCTGGAATCACAAATCTGTAACAGGCAACTGACACAATTATGTTAATGAAAGTTGCTTTGTTTTCACTATACCTGTGTGCAAGGATATTTTTTCCAAAATGGCAATAATTAATAGATTTATTAAAAGTGTAATAAATAAAACTTTAAATGAGCTTTTACCAAGCTTTCAAATATTTGCTTTCATCTTGAAAGTTCCATTGTTTTAGCTCACTGGCATAACCCCTTTTTCCTTGTATCAGTAGCCATGTCATTACTGAACAAAGTGAGTTTTGTCATATTTCTTATTTCACCTTGACTGTAATTTGAAACTACCAAGGGAAATTACTAACAGTTCACTTTAACTGCACCTTTCATTTCAGTCTCATAATGGTAAAGAGTCGGCATCCTTTCTCAACAATGTGGTTTTTGTGATTTCCTTAATCCTGTAATTTTCTCCTTGGGGGAGAAAAAGAGAATAAACTTGCTACAAAGTGTTTTTTTCTTTTATAGTGGCTCTAAGGCTATATTTAGGTTACCTTTCCTGGAAGCCCTTGGTGCCTAATAATTAACTGATCTTTTTTTAGTGTAGCATTAAAATTCAGATCAGAAACAACACTGCAGCTCTAGAAAGCCTCCCGTTGTCCTTAAATATGCAAACAATGGTATTATAGAATAACTGCAATTATTGCAGCTTCAAAACTTCGGAGTGGCTAAAATCTGATGAATAGAAGATTAGCCAGAATCTAAAGAATTTTCCAGTTGGCTTGAGCCACTAATTGTAAAATATTTGTGAAAGGAAAAATGATCTGATGTGATGATTCTAATCTTGCTGACACCTGTATAAATCAGCAGTAACTGAAATCACTACGGTCAGTCTAGGGTCAAAGCAATGTATATGCTATTAAAATCAGACTCTCTGACTTCATTATGGTCCCAGTCCTGCAATGACATGTGTTCATGCCCTGTCCCTGTGTGAAGCCCCACCAAAATTAGTGGGGCGCATAAGCATCCATCTCCAAGACCTTGCGGGATCAGGCCCTATAGATGGAGCAGCTTTTTAAATGAACCATTTGACATTGGTAGTTTGTCTCTTCAGACCTGAGTACAATTTTGAACAAGGTTTGGGCTTATCACAGGTTTTAACTAGTTTTATTTTCTTAAAACTGAAAATGCAGGAAAAGAGCTAGTAAAAATCCTTGCCGTGGTGTGGTTAATAAGAGTGAAAGCACTGACTTTATTTTATCGACCTTAATGGCTAAATTCATACCGTATATGGCTTCTCTGCTACATTCATATGTGTACATATGATGCACACTCAGTGAAATCCTGATTTCATGAAAGTCAATGTCAAAATTCCTAGGATATGCCTACACTGCAGCTGCAGTGATGCCTCCCAGCCCACATAGACAGACTCAGGCTAGCTCTGCTTCATCTCACATGTAAAAATAGCAGTATGTCCATAATGGAGCAGTTTGTGCCTTGAGTTAGCACCTTGTGCTTAGACTTAGGGTTTGCCCCCTCTCCTCCTCCCCTCCTCCCCCCGTTGCTATTTTTAGCACACTGGCTCAGATAGAGCCATCATGATTTTTTCTACCCTCCCAGCTGCAGTCTAGACATACCCATCTTGATTTCACTGGGATCAGGATTTCCACCACAGTCTTTCTGGTAAGACTACTTTGATTTTATCATCTGAATTCAATTGCTTCCTTCTCTTTCTGATTTGAGTATCTCTGCTGTTATTTATTTATGTCCCATTATAATAGAGTAAAACGGCTTAGTGGAGTCTGAGGAGGAATGTTATTTTATATTAAAAAGTCATTCAAAGTGAATGACACACACTTATTTTCAGCTTGGTATATAGAAGAATTTGCATGCATCACTCCCACTGACCAATGACAGAAGTTATACACGCGTCAACAGAAGAATAGCTATCACAGTTATTTTCTTATGAGGCTGTGATACAACTATCAATTCAAGGTATTTTTGTTAAAAGTATTAATTAATAGAGCTTTACACTATTTTTTTATACGCCTGTATTTGGAAACAATATTGATTTGTATAGGAAACCAGGACATGATCACAAGAACGCCAGTTACATATCTCTAGTCCCGTAAAGAACACAGTTTATATATCTGGGGCATTCTAATTGTTCCTTGGTCTATGTTGTGCCTTCTAAGCTTAATCAAAGCACATTGTTTATTTTAGCACTGGTTCAAAACAGAGTAAAGGAATGTAAAATTATTATATTTCCCTGTGTGTAATATATATGCAATATTTTATAAAATTAAAATATATATATATATATATATATTTGCAACTGACAGTCTTGGGATTATATTGGATAGTGGCACTCATGTCTGTTTCCTTGATAAATTGGATTGTTTTCCAAGGATTTTTCTGTTAAATGCCGTGAACAAATAAAGAAAACCTCTCTTTTTATTGTTTATTTTGGAGGAGAGGTGCATATGTTTGGGTTTTCCAGTTATTTTTATCCAAGAAACATTTTATAATTATTTTTGCAGTGCTTGCATTCCTAAAAACACGTCTTTTTAAAATTCAGTTACCGTTTTACCTCTGCAAATAGCTGGCAACTAGATCAGAATTCAATTACACACTTTCCTATGTACTCTCAATATAGATAGACTCAAACAGGTAGTTGTAATCTAGCAATGCTTCCTATAGCAAATCAGTATACTGGGTTTCTTCTAAATGTATACAAAGTTCCACAAGAGTATTTATGTCAATTCCCAGACTGATCTCATTAACAGCAAATCCTAAATTTACTTGCTAAAATCACTTCTTAAAAGTGCAGGAAAATCAAGTGTGAGCAAACTTCAAACTACAATGATATATTTTTTTTCTCTTTATGGTTCTTGCATCTCTGCACATCTTTACTATTAAATCTTGGACTTACTGGCCCAAGTCAATTTGTTTGCCAATGTTTTCCTCATAGGGATAGTTTTGATATGAGTTTGGTTTTCCAAGCCCTACATTCACTCAGATATCTTGTAAAAAAATCAATACTGCTCTGATTATTTGGTCAAATTCATTAACAAAAATGCACTTACCTTTTAGCTCTACAGTCTAAGCAAGTAGGTGTGAAATACTGCTGTGGCACAGAGTGCAATAAGTCTAGTGAACACATTAGAATGCAGGTACTGTAAATGTGACAGTGTTGTGCTCATCAGGAATGCACTATAGAAACGAAACTAGGTGGGGCTGTATTTCCCTGCCTGTAATAGAACACCTGAGAACCAGACTGACCTGCTTCTTGGTTGTCTTTGTTAAGAGCTAGCATTACTGAGTTCACAGAAATTACAGCTCTCGTTGTAAAGTGGGTGGACAAGTACCCATTGATTCTGTGAAGTTTACAAAATCTGACTTTTTGAGAAAGGTATCAAATGTCTATAAATTACATGGAGAATTGGTCTTCTGTAAATTAGATAGCAAACATTTTAATAAAAAGCGCTTTGCTACTGTATTCCAAACTGAAATAGTCAGCCTGTGGTACTCCTTGCAAGAGGATGCTGTGAAGGCCAAGACTCTCTAAAAGGGTTAAAAAACCTAGATATAAGTTCCTGGATGATAGATCTATCAATAGCTATTAGGCAGGATGGGCAGGAATGGTGTCCTTAGCCTGTTTGTCAGCAGCTGGGCATGGGCGACAGAGGATGGATCAGCTGTTCTGTTCATTCCTTGTGGGGCACTTGATATTGGCCACTGTCAGAAGACAGGACACTGGGCTAGATGGAGCTTTGGTCTGACCCAGTCTGACCATTCTTACGTTCTTAGGGTTTGAAGAGCTGTGTTTGTAGAAGTTGAATAAACAAAAGTTTATTATACTATGGCATATTCCTAATATACATCTACTTTGCACTAAATATGTATATCCATGCTGTTAGGCATTAGCCAAAGCCTCTGGGTCCAAATACCCTCCTAATTTGAAGGAAATTAAATGCAGATTTAGATTCAAATTTGGTAAATCAAACCGTAATTCCAGCTTTTGTGGGTGGAGGGGTGGAATAACAATCAGATCCAGATCCGAATCTTGCATGTCAGATGACCTCTTTATGTGCTGTATATAACCCTGGAGATGGATTGAGAGCAAATGGAGTAGTGGGGAAAGGCAAATATGCACAGTTTAGTTTTTTGCATATTGAAGTAGCCAGAACCACTTGTTACTGTAATTTTATTCTTTATTTATTTTAGACTGGTATGCATTGGAGAGGGACACCGAGGTGTTCTAGTGATATCTGAATAACTCCATGAGTGGAATACCATGGCACTTTTGTTTCCCCTTGACATTTTCCAAATATCAAGTGCAACTACTATTTCATGCCTTTCTCTAGTGTTATTATTTGAATATTAGTGATAGTGCTTGTTTGCGTGAGATGTTAGCCCCAAATCAACACACCTGCAGTAATATGGAACCTTCCTGATGCCAGTGTGATGACTCACAGGGGCATAGTTTCAAGCTTAGGACCTAATTGCGAGTTAAGGACCTAATTTTAATTTCCCCACATTATTACCTGCGATAAATAGCCACATTGGTGCTCTACTGCAGGTAGGTCTCTAACAGCAATGCTATTCTTTTAACCACTGTATCATCTAGACCTGCTCTGAGCAGGATTAGATAACAAGATGGGTTAAAACAACAACAGTGAACCTACATTAGCCTTCTCGTCATTGCAACAATGATGCAACAAAGCATCTAGTAGAGATGCATTAGTAGTAGAAACTGAGGGATGAGGGTTGCTATGGCCCCATTAGTCCAAATGAGTGACACATGGAGTAACTGTAATCTACTTTTATACATCAGGAAGTATTTCTGTGTTAAAAGCAAGTTTTAACTAATCTCAGGCAATGGATTTATTATACTTGGAAGTAAACTACACATAGTTGACACAAATAATTATAGTGCCTACATAGTACATTTTGATTGCCTGTGAATGTGATGAGATTTCTTTTGAAAACCAACTGTTTTGTTAATTTAAAGATTCTACTGTTAATTTAAAAACTTATCGTAAGCCATGGTATCAGCCACTAAGCAGATATGAGGGATACACTCTCAAATCTTCATTGCCATTCATTCCTGGTTTTCCATACTTATTGTTTTCATGTTGTTGAACCTCTGTACTGAAGCAATAGTTCATGATCAGCAATACGTTAACTTCTGTCCATCACTAAAAGGAGTTATTTAGGTACCTGCAATTCCTTTTTCCATAGAGCATGAAAGGTGGAGAGGGCAGAAAAGCAATAGTCACACAGGTTGCAAAGAGTGGTGATGTGGTATAATCACTAGACAAAAGAAAATACTGACCTCATGCAAGAAAAGGGCATATTGACTGGTTGTAGCAATAGGGTGGGGCTTAAAATACCCATGTAGATATAGGAAACTAGCAGCCATAGTAATTGACTCTCCAGGAGCATGTACAGTGATGGTAATAATTCACAGTTTTCAAAGTTACATATGATGGATTAGTAATGGGCCCAATTAATTGTTGGAGTCTGCAGTCTTGAGGTTTCCATCTTGAGGTCTACAAAATCATGAAGTGTTATCCCTTCATATAACACAAGAACTAGTAGTTACCCAATGAAAATAATAGGCAGTATACAGAAGTTCTTAAACTTCTAATAAGCAAGCATAATGAATAAAAAATGAAGTAGTTCTTACATAAAAACATAAGAACGGCCATACTGGGTCAAACCAATGGTCCATCTAGCCTAGTATTCTGTCTAACAACAGTGGCCAATACCAGATGCCCCAGAGGGAGTGAACAGAACAGTAATCCTCATGTGATCCCTCTCCTGTTATCCCTTTACAGACAAACAGAGGCTAGGGACATCATTCCTACCCTGGCTAATAGCCATTGATGGACCTAATCTCCATGAATCTACCTAGCTCTTTTTTGAACCCCGTTAAAATCCTAGCCTTTACCACATCCTCTGGCAAGGAGTTCCACAGGATGACTGTGCACTGAGTGAAGAAAAACTTCCTTTTGTTTGTTTTAAACCTGCTGCCTATTAATTTCATTTGGTAATTTCATTAGTTCTTCACACAATGCACATCCAACCTGTACAATTCATTGCCAGGTGATGCCATGAAGGCCAAAACTATTTAGTTCAATCTGGGTTCAAAAAAGAATGAGATAAGTCCCTGAAGGAGATGCTAACATGAGTTAAAAAATTGAAAAATAGAAGACAGTATACTGGGCTATTGGTGTAACCTGGTATGGTCATTCTCATGTTCAGTGGAGTTACACCAGAGATAAAATTAGCCCAGCTGATATAATTACTAGTTCTATTGGCTGATTGCTAACCAACTGATAATGGGAGCTGTAGTGTGGGCAGAAAGGTATCACCAACTGTTCAGGTGAGAGGAGAAACCCACTTTACAGGGAGGAAACTTATTGTATATTGGCAGTTGGACATTACATAATTCCTACTTCAGTAATGCAGTGGTTCCAACACTGGTCGAGCCCTGGTGCCTTCTGCCTTTCACTTCAGGAGGACTCATTTCAAAACATTCTGATCATTGTTGTAATGACCTGTATAATATATTTCACAATAGTTATTAAATCCTCCTTTGATGCAATCCGTCCATTGTTTCCTTGCTTTTTCTCAGAGACTCTTTCCTTCCACCTGACTCTCTGGTACTTCACAGAGTCTTTCCTAGGAGTCTGCAGAGGGAAACAGACTGTGGTAGGAGGACATGTGGCCTGGAGGATATAGTCCCCTAAAAGAGGGTGTGTCTGTCTGCCTGTCTCTCTCTCATATGAAGTGCTCAGCCCAGGGGAGAAGTTGGAGAACCCCTGTTAAGGTGTATTAGCAACCCAGAGGCAAGTCAGACATCTTTCAGAATGAGGTGAAAATTAGGCCACTTACTTTGGTGGCAAAATATGGATATAGGTGCCTTGTGCCTAACAATATTAGTTTTGAAAACAGTGGCACTGAATATATCCAAGCCTTTTCTGTGCTTTTTAGGCATAGCCATGTGTTGAAACAACCCAATTGATTTGACTTTTGTCCTCCAGTGTAGTTGTGCCCTTAGAGACTAACAAATATATTAGATCATGAGCTTCTATGTGTAAAACTTACTTCATCACATGAGTTGGAGTGGAAATTACAGAATCTAGAGTATACATACCAGCAAAAGTAGTTGCCTGTCAATCGAAGGACCAGTGTTAATGAAGCTACTTAAGTCACGCCGGATATGTCCCACTCATAGCTTTTGACGTGGAAATGCAAATATCAAAGGTGGGGAAAATGCCTTTGTGGTGCATTAACCAGTTAATGTCTTTATTCAAGCCTAAATAGACAGAGTTGAATTTGTATATGAACTCCAGTTCAGCAGTATCCCCTATAAGTGGGTGACACAATTTCTTTGTAGATGAATGGCTACTTTTAAATACATTATTGAACGTCCGGGGGTTAAAATATTCTCCTAGGGTATGTCTACACTACAGCGCTAATTCGAACTAACTTAGTTTGAATTAGTTAATTTGAACTAAGCTAATTCGAACTAACGCATCTAGAACTAAAAAACTAGAGGGGACCCTGAATCGGGGTTAAGGATGGCCAGAAGCAGTGCCGGCAGGGCATCAGATGAGGACTTAGAGCGTGGAGCTGCTGTCTCAGGCTAGCTGAGGGCTGTGCTTAAAGGGACCCGACCCCCACCCCAGACAGACAGTTCTCAGGGGTGCCCCGCTTGCAAAGCAGTCCTGGCTTGGATGGCCCGGAGTACCCACACTGGGCACATCACAGCACTCGGCCATCAGCCCGACTGCACTTGCCGCAGGCTGCCATCTGGGGAGAGGGGGCAATTGGGGGGCTGCAGGAGAGCTTCCACCCCCAGAAGCCCGCAGAGCCAGCCCAGTCCTCCCCATCGGGGGCTCGTACCCCATTCCTCCCTCACCTCCTTCCACTCACCTCCTTCACCTCCTTCCACTCGCCTGCCCTAGATGGCCACTTTCCTGTGCCTAGTGCGGAGGTCATGGACGAGGTCCACGATGTCTGCACTGGACCAGGCGGGGGGCCGCCTCTTGCAGGCCTGGGCAAGCTCCCGGGAGCCACCAGCCTGGTCCTGGGAAGAGGAGGAGGGCTGGGGGGCATCAGGTGGGTGGCTCGATCCGTGCCAGGTGCAGGGTCTGCTGGCTGGGTGCGGGCAGGCGTTGGCCC